TTCAGGTTGAAATCCCTTTCCATCATTTTGTGTTTCTTTTTTTTTAGTTTCCAATGAAGTTTACAAACATTTTGTCCCCTTTCTGACACCATAGGTCTGGTTCTGGTTGCTCAAAGAAATGTTTGAACTTTAGCCTCCATGTTGGCCTTTAACTCATAAAGCCTTCTCTAGTTACCGTGCTAACTGCTAGCATGTCTTCTTCTTTCCTGTTTCAAACGTTTATCCAGAGTTTATATTTATAAACAGAACCACAGAAAGTTTATTCTGCATCCTTGGATCCATTGAAAAGTGGAAATAATTTGGACCGGACTCTGGATCCATTTGTTCTGTTCCAGGAGCCTCTGCTTTTGCATTACTTCTACTGTGAATACATGTGATGCACCGCTTAAGAATGATCACTAGTGCCTCCTGATGGACGATAGGGGGATTACAACACTGAAAGATTTAGGTGGATGCTATCAGTTAAGAGAAAGAACTAATTTCATTCTAATAAACCATTACTTGACAAATAATTATAACTCCATTTTAGTTGAAGGTGTTTATACCTCTTGTTTATTTCACAGTTATATTTGCAGTTGTATCATTTTATTTTTCACCATTTGCAAAGATTTTTATATTTTGTATCAAATGATTTTCTAAAGTAAATCAAATGCCTCCCCCTACCAACTGCTGTTTTACTCGAGTTATTTCCTGGAAGGATTAATTTTTTTCAGTAAAAATATGTTTAAATTAGACTCTAACAGGAGTCTACATTTTGGGGACTCTCCTGCGTCTACATCAGAAGACAGGTTGGGGACAGTGGACTCTGTTAGGTACAGTGGACTGTGTTAGACAGTGGACGCTATTGTGGACAGTGGACTCTATTGTGGACAGTGGACTCTGTTGTGGACAGTGGACTCTATTGTGGACAGTGGTCTCTATTGTGGACAGTGGACTCTATTGAGGACAGTGGACTCTGTTGTGGAATCCATTGAGGACAGTGGACTCTATTGTGGACAGTGGACTCTATTGAGGACAGTGGACTCTATGGTGGATAGTGGACTCTATTGAGGACAGTGGACTCTATGGTGGATAGTGGACTCTATTGTGGACAGTGGACTCTATTGGGTACAGTGTACTCTATGGTGTAAAGTGTACTCTATGGTGGACAGTGGACTCTGTTGTGGACAGTGGATGCTATTGGGGACAGTGGTCTCTATTGGGTACAGTGGACTCTGTTAGGGAATCCATTGAGGACAGTGGACTCTATTGTGGACAGTGGACTCTATTGAGGACAGTGGACTCTGTTGTGGAATCCATTGAGGACAGTGGACTCTATTGTGGACAGTGGACACTATTGAGGACAGTGGACTCTATGGTGGACAGTGGACTCTATTGTGGACAGTGGACTCTGTTGTGGACAGTGGACTCTATTGTGGACAGTGGATGCTATTGGGGACAGTGGTCTCTATTGGGGACAGTGGACTCTATTGTGGAGAGCGGACTATATGGTGGACCGTGGACTCTATTGGGTACAGTGGACTCTATTGAGGACAGTAGACTCTATTGTGGACAGTGGACTCTATGGTGGACTCTATTGGGGACAGTGGACTCTGTGGTGTACAGTGGACTCTATTGAGGACAGTGGACTCTATTGGGTACAGTGGAATCTATTGTGGACAGTGGACTCTGGTGGACAGTGGACTCTATTGGGTACAGTGGAATCTATTGTGGACAGTGGACTCTGGTGGACAGTGGACTCTATTGGGTACAGTGGACTCTATTGAGGACAGTGGACTCTGTGGTGTACAGTGGACTCTATTGAGGACAGTGGAATCTATTGTGGACAGTGGACTCTGGTGGACAGTGGACTCTATTGTGGACAGTGGACTCTGTTGTGGACAGTGGACTCTGGTGGACAGTGGACTCTATTGTGGACAGTGGACTCTGTTGTGGACAGTGGACTCTATGGTGGACAGTGGACTCTATTGGGGTCAGTGGACTCTATGGTGGACAGTGGACTCTATTGGGGTCAGTGGACTCTATGGTGTACAGTGGACTCTATTGAGGACAGTGGAATCTATTGTGGACAGTGGACTCTGGTGGACAGTGGACTCTATTGTGGACAGTGGACTCTGTTGTGGACAGTGGACTCTGGTGGACAGTGGACTCTATTGTGGACAGTGGACTCTGTTGTGGACAGTGGACTCTATGGTGGACAGTGGACTCTATTGGGGTCAGTGGACTCTATGGTGGACAGTGGACTGTATTGGGGACAGTGGACTCTATGGTGGACAGTGGACGCTATTGGGTACAGTAGATTCTGTTATGCATAGTGGACTGTATTGTGGAGATTGGAGTCTGTTGGGGACAGTGAACTCTATGGTGGACTCTATTGGGGACAGTGGACTCTATTGTGGACAGTGGACTCTATGGTGGACTTTATTGTGGACAGTGGACTATGGTGGACAGTGGACTCTATTGAGGACAGTGGACTCTATTGTGGACAGTAGACTATGGTGGACAGTGGACTCTATTGTGGACAGTGGACTCTATTGTGGAGAGTGGACTCTATGGTGGACTCTATTGGGGACAGTGGACTCTATTGTGGACAGTGGACTCTATGGTGGACTCTATTGTGGACAGTGGACTATGGTGGACAGTGGACTCTATTGAGGACAGTGGACTCTATTGTGGACAGTGGACTATGGTGGACAGTGGACTCTATTGAGGACAGTGGACTCTATTGTGGACAGTGGACTCTATGGTGGACTCTATTGTGGACAGTGGACTATGGTGGACAGTGGACTCTATTGTGGACAGTGGTCTCTATTGTGGACAGTGGACTCTATTGAGGACAGTGGACTCTGTTGTGGAATCCATTGAGGACAGTGGACTCTATTGTGGACAGTGGACTCTATTGAGGACAGTGGACTCTATGGTGGATAGTGGACTCTATTGTGGACAGTGGACTCTATTGGGTACAGTGTACTCTATGGTGTAAAGTGTACTCTATGGTGGACAGTGGACTCTGTTGTGGACAGTGGATGCTATTGGGGACAGTGGTCTCTATTGGGTACAGTGGACTCTGTTAGGGAATCCATTGAGGACAGTGGACTCTATTGTGGACAGTGGACTCTATTGAGGACAGTGGACTCTGTTGTGGAATCCATTGAGGACAGTGGACTCTATTGTGGACAGTGGACTCTATTGAGGACAGTGGACTCTATGGTGGACAGTGGACTCTATTGTGGACAGTGGACTCTGTTGTGGACAGTGGATGCTATTGGGGACAGTGGTCTCTATTGGGGACAGTGGACTCTATTGTGGAGAGCGGACTATATGGTGGACCGTGGACTCTATTGGGTACAGTGGACTCTATTGAGGACAGTAGACTCTATTGTGGACAGTGGACTCTATGGTGGACTCTATTGGGGACAGTGGACTCTGTGGTGTACAGTGGACTCTATTGAGGACAGTGGACTCTATTGGGTACAGTGGAATCTATTGTGGACAGTGGACTCTGGTGGACAGTGGACTCTATTGGGTACAGTGGAATCTATTGTGGACAGTGGACTCTGGTGGACAGTGGACTCTATTGGGTACAGTGGACTCTATTGAGGACAGTGGACTCTGTGGTGTACAGTGGACTCTATTGAGGACAGTGGAATCTATTGTTGACAGTGGACTCTGGTGGACAGTGGACTCTATTGTGGACAGTGGACTCTGTTGTGGACAGTGGACTCTGGTGGACAGTGGACTCTATTGTGGACAGTGGACTCTGTTGTGGACAGTGGACTCTATGGTGGACAGTGGACTCTATTGGGGTCAGTGGACTCTATGGTGGACAGTGGACTCTATTGGGGTCAGTGGACTCTGTTGTGGACAGTGGACTCTATGGTGGACAGTGGACTCTATTGGGGTCAGTGGACTCTATGGTGGACAGTGGACTCTATTGGGGTCAGTGGACTCTATGGTGTACAGTGGACTCTATTGAGGACAGTGGAATCTATTGTGGACAGTGGACTCTGTTGTGGACAGTGGACTCTATGGTGGACAGTGGACTCTATTGGGGTCAGTGGACTCTATGGTGGACAGTGGACTCTATTGGGGTCAGTGGACTCTATGGTGTACAGTGGACTCTATTGAGGACAGTGGAATCTATTGTGGACAGTGGACTCTGGTGGACAGTGGACTCTATTGTGGACAGTGGACTCTGTTGTGGACAGTGGACTCTGGTGGACAGTGGACTCTATTGTGGACAGTGGACTCTGTTGTGGACAGTGGACTCTATGGTGGACTCTATTGGGGACAGTGGACTCTATGGTGGACAGTGGACTGTATTGGGGACAGTGGACTCTATGGTGGACAGTGGACGCTATTGGGTACAGTAGATTCTGTTATGCATAGTGGACTGTATTGTGGACATTGGAGTCTGTTGGGGACAGTGGACTCTATGGTGGACTCTATTGGGGACAGTGGACTCTATTGTGGACAGTGGACTCTATGGTGGACTTTATTGTGGACAGTGGACTATGGTGGACAGTGGACTCTATTGAGGACAGTGGACTCTATTGTGGACAGTAGACTATGGTGGACAGTGGACTCTATTGAGGACAGTGGACTCTATTGTGGAGAGTGGACTCTATGGTGGACTCTATTGGGGACAGTGGACTCTATTGTGGACAGTGGACTCTATGGTGGACTCTATTGTGGACAGTGGACTATGGTGGACAGTGGACTCTATTGAGGACAGTGGACTCTATTGTGGACAGTGGACTATGGTGGACAGTGGACTCTATTGTGGACAGTGGACTCTGTTGGGGTCAGTGGACTCTATGGTGGACAGTGGACTAAAAAGGCTCGAACGAAAACGCCCTGGTGACTTTTTGGACATTTTTGGGGGACAGCGGAAGGGTGTGATTACTTTAGGGGCCCCCAGCTGAGCCCCCCTCCCTTCGCCTCCCATTCGGGTCCATTTAAGGAGCTCCGCTGCAGCGCCACGCCTCCTGACTCCTCCAGCGCTCCGGCAGCTGCGCTTTGCAGAGCGGCTCGATCTTCCAGGACGGACGGAAGAAAAAAGCAGCAGAGAGAGAAGCGACAGAGCGGCTGAGCTGAGCGGGAGGAGGATGTGAGGACAGCTGGATGCGGACAGAGAGCGCGCGGCTGGACTGACCGCCTTTAGGGAGGCCTTTGCTCTGCACCTGTCCCCCTCCGTCTCCAGGCGCAGTTTTGGCCACAGCGGCGCTCCTTTATTTATCGGGGAGGCGCTCTGACGCACGGCTCCGCCGGAGGCGCGCGCACAGGCTCAGACAGCAGCATGACTTCAGCCTACAGCCTGGATTTTCTGCCCGACCTGATGGTGGAGAGCCGCCTGCTGGTCCCCGGAGACAGAATGTAAGTTCCGCTGCTCTGCTGCTTTCCGTGGGGCTGGGTCCGGGGGGTGGGGGGATCGGGGTCAGAGCGTCCGGATCTCGCGGACCCCTGATGCTGATGGATGATCGCCATCATGAGGAATTAACGCGGCCGCCTCATTTAAACACAGCAGCTTCATCATCATCAACATCATCGGAGCGCCGCGTTCGGGACTCTGTACCGGGGTGGGGGGCGCATACCCCCCCCCCCCCCTAAATCAAGCAGTAAAGCGCAGGAGTGGAGCGCGGTGACCGGTGACGCCCTGCTCCCTGTTTTCCTCACTTTGGACCCTTGGTTTGGGGGGTGGGGGGGTGCATCCCGTGTCCTTTAATTGAGTTTTTGCTCTTATTGTGTTAAACTCCTCCGTTCCTGCAGCTCAGAGACAAAGGCAGCCTTTCACAGTCATGCGTTCCTCCTCATGTCCCACTTCTGTCCCATCCTGTTTGGATCAGCCAGAGAGGAACCTTCACTCTTCTCCATTTCACTCCCTGCATAAGAACTCCTAAAAAACTCCCTGATCAGGACCAATGCTGCTGTGATGACTGCTTACCTCCATATGGATGGGAGTAATTAGTAGAATACTGTTGAGTCATCCTGTTCACTCAGATGATTCTGATTTATCTCTCCTTATAGAGGCTGGAACACTTTTTCAGATCCTGAAAATATCAGGATTGACTCATTTCTCAGAGATCAGCGCAGATCTGCGATCAGTCGGTCAAATAATAACAGTGTCAGTGTTTTTAATCACAAACATATGACCAACAGCATGTAGAAAAATAAACAGAGGTTTGGTTTAATGCAAAAACATCAGAGTCAGGATGCTTTTTTTAATCATTGCTGGTCAGAAATGAGCCAAGAGAGGCCGGATCGGATTCAGGATCTGCTGGGTTCCATCATTTTTGCTGATTGGTGATCAATAAAATAATCACATCTGACCAGGTTTTCCTTCCTGTTTATAAAAATGCTCCAAAGCAAAATGCAGTTCGAAGCAGAAATCCTCCATTTTCTGTTACATCTTAATGCTGCAGAATGTTTGCACTTTTTTGAGGTTTAAAGTAAAACCAGAAGAACCAAATGAGTAAAAAAAGTCTGGTCAGCATGATGTCAGAACTGAGCAGGTTAGTTGCCGGTTCAGATGATGGGATTGTTATCAAAATAGTTGCTTTCTGTATCTCTGCTTCTGCCTCCTCAGTGTATTCTCATTATCAGTTCGTACGAAATCGTACAAAAAGTTATGCACCGTAATTTCGTACGTTTTGGACGTTTTTTTCGTCGCATTTCGTCGTATTTTTACGTCTTGCCTTGAGACAAGATATCCTTGCGCATGCGCATCTTATGCACCATTCAATAACATAGAATTTAACATACAAGTAACCCTAACCCTAAGATACAAAACAGCAAGCAACCTAGTTAGAGACATGAAGAAGTGATTATTGCACTGTTTTTCCCAGTTTTACGTCCGTCCGCGGATCTGCTTTTTTCGTCTGTCTGCCTGCGCATGCGCACTGATCTGTTTTTTCGAGGAAAAACGTCCAAAATGTACAAAATACTATGCATAACTTTTCGTACGATTTCATACGAACTGATAATGAGAGTATGTTGGTCTCCAGTCGCCCTCAGCAGATGGAGGTTTCTTCCTGTTAAAAGGGAGTTTTCCTCTCCCCTGTCGCTACAAGCATGCTTTATGTGAGGGATTGTCTTCGAGGCAATGAGTTGATGCAATCAACTGGTTTTCCTTAGATAGAAAACTTTGAATAAATGTGACTGGATGATCTGGTTGAACTGTAAAGTGACATGTGTTGTGAATTGGCGCTATAGAAAGAAACTGGATAGAATAAAAATTGTCTTCATTTTTGGTTTCCAGACGAATCCTTTGCTGCTGTGATGTAATTAGCGAAAGGAAGATAAAATTCCCAGCAGGGGTCCGTTTGTTCCCTAAAACAAAACCTGTGTCTCTGGTTCCCCCCCAGGCCGGGCGGCCAGCGCCGTGCTTCTCACTCTCCCTGTAGTCTATTACCTACATGCTCCAGCGACGAGGCGCCTTCTCATTAATCAGTGTCACCGTCTCTCACGCCGTGGGCCCGGCGGGGGTGCCTCCCCCCCCCCTCTCCACCCGTTGATGTGTTTTGCATCAGCGGCCGCGCGGCGTGTCTGCGGGGAAGTGAAGGATTTCTAAATAACGCGTGTCGCTGGAATTAGACAGGCCTATCTGTGGCCTCTTACCCAGCTGGCGAGGAGGCGGACAGCTTTAACCAGATAACGCTTATGGAAATGACACTTTGTATTTACGGGAACACGCCGCTGCATGGAGGCTGCGGAGGGGCTCCTCTTCTGACATCCTTCTCTGTATTATTGTGTTTAACTTCACCGTTTCACTGGTGGCTGCATGCAACCCCCCCATTCTTCCACTTCCTGCTGCAGCTGTGGATGTGATCAGGTTCTCTCCAAGAACGAAATCTTTGATGGAAGCTGCTGAAATGATCTCCTCCTCCTCCCCGAGTGGAACAAACGCTGCGTTCGGAGCCCGAAAAGCTCCAGGAAAGGATCCCTGTGATGGATCCAAAGAATGTTTGGGATCAGAGATGTGCAGGACCTCTGCTCTGACCTTCCACTCTTAAGCCTGAGGCTGAGGTCTGCCTGGGAAATATCTCCTCCTTGCCTTCTGCTGCTGAAATCTGCAGAAATCCAAACCTCCATCCATGGGAGAATTAGAATGCAGCAGTTTACGGCTGTGGCGTGGAAACGAGCTGGGATTTCCACCCACTCCCCTCAAAGGAGGGACACAAATCATGGAGCCAACAGCTGAAAGCTGATGTGACAGAAACATGTGGGGTGGGGGGGATGTTCCACCAATGCTTGTTTGAATCCATTCAGTCTGGATTCAGCCTTTGTTCTGCAGACCTTCATCTAAATAATCAGGCAGCACATCCAACCTCAGCCTAAAAAAAAAACATACCTGTGAAGGAGCTGAGCTGGACCAATCAGAGGACTCCGATGTTAACTCAGACCAAATGCTTTGAAATAATGCAGAGACGAATTTCTCCTAAAACCAGAGAAAGAAAATGGTTCTCTCTCTGAACCTCGGCGTGTCGAGATGATCAAACCGACACGGCGGATCTTTCTTCGAGGGAAACGAAGTGCAGAGAGATCAGCCGAGTGAAAATGACTCCGTCAGACTGGAGGAGGAGGAGGAGGAGGGTGATGGTTTGACATCCAACATCTCCCCAGACAGACATCTGCCTGAAGAGGAGTTGTGACTCCTCCTGACGTGGAGATTGAAGGAGAACCAGCGGTTCTGCTCGGCTCTCATTCCTCACCTGGTTTCCTTCTGCTTGATAAGGGGAGAAAAATCTCCTCCTGATGTAGTTTAGCTGGAAAACATGTACAGTATGTGTGATATGTGAAGCAATGGAGTCGTCTTCATGCATCGCCAGCTGCAGCATTGTGTGGTGCAAGGGGGGGGGAATCATCGGGGCTGTCATAATGATGAATGTCTTTTCTCTGCCGGGGCTCGGCGCTGCTTGTCTAAGGCTGACATCGCTGTGTGGAGGTGGTGATGCATCGTGACCGCGTGTCTACGTACCTGTGGCAGGGCAGGGGGGGTGTGGCCCCGTATAGAGACATCAGAACCGAGGCCGGGGCCAGCCTGTCTGCAGAAGATTCTATTCAGTTTATTTCTATACCAATAACACATGTTATCTCAAGGCAACAATACATTCAATTGATTCAAAGTTTTCTATCTAAGGAAAACCAGTTGATTTCATTGAATCGAAGGCAAACACACTAAGCATGCTTGTAGCGACAGTGGAGAGGAAAAACTCCCTTTAACAGGAAGAAACCTCCAGCAGAACCAGGCCAAACAGATTAAAAATGAGAACTTCCTCAATCCCAGGATAGATATGAAGGGATGATGGTGAGAAATAATCCAGAGGAAAAATGCAGAGCAGAACCTTTAGATGCAGATTTTGGTCTTCGGGCCTCCTTAGAGGAAAACCGAGCTGCCTCTCAGCTGGAGGGGCACCGGGTTCCGGTGGGGTGTGGGGGGGTTAGCTCGGAGCTCACGTTCACAGCTCCACACAAAGGAATTTTGATCTCCCGCTTCCCGCTCTGACCTTTAAGCGCCGCGTCGTTTGACACATCTGAACCGATGCTGGCTGTGAATGTGAAACATCCCAGGCTGGGTGGAACCGCTCTGGTGCCAAACGTGGTTCTAGGCTCGCATCTCATTAATCCGGGGTGAAGAAGGCTGCCGCTCGCCGACGATGCGCTCATCATCGTCTCCTCTGTTAGCCTTCCTCCCTGCACACTGACCTGCTGTTTCCTGCCCTCCGTCTCCTCTAATGTTCTGATTGTTTGGGTTTCACTGCAACCTTCTTCATCATGCAGATGGCTCCTGGTAAAGTGGACGTTTTGCTTGTTTAAGTCACGGACGCTGCAGCAGCCTGCTGTGTGAGAAGAACAAGGACTGAGGTGTGCGTCTCTATTCTGAGAGCGCCGTTTCCTCGCTGGGCCTTGAAACGAACGAAGCGTGATTTACTCCTTTATTTCCATGCTGCATGCACGCGCTTCCACCCACATAGACACTCATGTGAGAGCAGGGAGCGGCGCCAGGCCCGCGTTGTTCACGCCGTGTCCCCCGGGTTGTTGACAGGCTGGAAAAGAACCAAATCTCTGCGGACGGAGAAAAGACAGAGCGGATCTCTCTCCACCCATCTGGGTTTACGGGGAGTTCTTCTTCTTTCTTTTCTTTGTCTCATTGTCAACAGTCAGCCGCTGCATTTAGACGGAACGGCAGCAGCAGCAGCATTTCTCTGGCTTGCCAGAGGGAGAGCTTATATACCTCATGCATGTCTCTGTGGATTTCCCCCCCCCCCCTCTTCCTCCCCCCCATCTCTTTTGGCCTCCCTCTCCCCTCTTCATTCAAGCGTGCTAAATGCTTTACCTCTGTCAACTCTTGAGTCGGAGAGGAGCTCATTATTGTG